TCTTATAAATTGCGAGATATGTATCATTTTTCGTGAAAGGCCCCTTTAAATCATGTTTTTTAGTATAACTGATTTTCTAGGCATCCTACAATTTTGGTTTCTTGTACAACTATATTTTGCAAGTTTAAACACATGCTTTTGCTGAACATTGTAACTAATTAGCTCTTGAAACAAAACAGTTATTCTTAAATAATCGATATTTTTAGGGGTATTTTCTCCTCAAATAACTATTTCCGGCGCAAATTGGCGCAAAATTCTAGGACAAGACACTGAAGAAGTCTGCACATTGTAGACGAAGTACGCGTATCTGTCAAGGATAAGTAAATAAGGTAGTGGAATTAAATGGAAATTACTAATCCTTCTCTCTCTCATTATCGAATTAAAATGTTTGGACGGTTCTAGAACTGTTGCACCACTTTCCTGGCCATTTACTGTCCATTGGACCACTTTTATGACCACTCCTTTCCTTCTTTCGGGCACTCAGACGCTCCTTGAAGGTTCTTATAACACAAAACACAGTTGTTTTTGCCATTCCAAGCTTTTTAGCGATTGATTAAAGTGCACAACATTTTTTCATGGACAATTTCTTGTTTCTACGACTATGAATGGAACTGCTCTATGAATCTGGATAGAGCTGAAATAACAGCTTTTGTAAACAATGACTTCTCTCGATGATTTCTAGATACTCCAGGCACGCCTACACAAACCAACATATCCATCGGGAAGAGGAAGTCTTCTCCACTCGATGGTTATGTCGATTTGCCAGTGAGAGTCATGACTTTCGAGAAATCATCGAGAGAAGTCATTGTTTACAAAAGCTGTTACGCCCTAATTCTAGCTCTATCTAGGAATAACTATGAAACTAAACAGATGTCCGTGCAATCCACTATTAATAATATTTACTAAAATTTTCAGGTTTTATACTCATAGCGTTAAAAAGTTACAGATTAAATTTTCGGTGTGACAATTCAGAAATTGATAATGTAGTTTGTACACACTAAATATAAATTATTCTCAATGAAAACTGAAATCGTACTAGGATTTCAAAATAATGAGGAAATTTATGAAAATCTTTATAATCTGTATTTTAGATAAAAATCTGTATTCTTGGTCTTGAAATGATCCAGGCAATCTGTAAAATACAGAATAATCTGTAAATGTAGCAACCCTGGTACGCATATTTCGTGCCAGTCAGTCAGTGGTTGCCGTCTGTGGGTGAAGGTAGGTAAAGACGCTGAATGGCGCTCAAAGAAGAAAAGATTGGCTCCAGGCAGGCGGGCACTCTTCTCTCGCATTAAAGATGATGAAGCAGTAGAGTAGAGTAGCTGGGGGAAAAAGGACTCTTTAGCTGAGGTAGAGCTACTACAAAGCTGCTGGAGACGGTTCCGTTTTACTTATTCGTATCCGTGCTCTTTTGTCCATTTCGATGCCGCCGTCAGCGCCACCGCCGTTTCTGCTGCAGTCGGACCGACCGCTGTTGGTAGGTATGTTTATGCCGTTGGAGGTTATGCTTCTTGATAAAAGGTTCACGTCGACGCGCTGACCGGTGCGGAAAGGTAACAATCGAACTAACGGGGGGTCGGCAAATCTTGAGTTCGTTAGGATGTATGAAACGATTTTTATCATGGTAAATTCAGTGAACAATGTTTAAAACTAGTTAGTTTGTGGACGTTTTTCATTATGCGCTACATTTCATGTATCGGGACGGGACACATTGGGACGAAAACAAAAAAAAGCTGTCTATCTCTAGCAAGTTAGCAGGTATGAGCAGCTAAACTCAACGTAATTTCGTTCAGAAAATCATACCCTACTGTTACATATACAATCCAAAGAGGGATCTAAGGGGATGCTTAATAAATTTTCTAATAAAATAGCTGAATGTTTTGTTACGTTTTGCTGTTTTCATGACCATTTTTCCAAGTATGTACATTAGGGTGGGTTGCAGCTTCGACAAAGTTGTGTGGTATAGTATTGTAGTAATACTAACCTCAACAAATTACCCTTTTGAATAATTCCTTATCCCTTACTACGGACCATGCATCACATGGGAAGTATAATTCCATTACACATCATAAATTAAATACTCACTCAGCTTGTGTGTGCGGTTCGTATTGCGTAAGTACAGTCGTTCGGATAACGACTTCGTCGCGAAATGGCCACCAAAAAGGCGCAGGAGAAGAAATTGAAGGAGATTCGGCGGTCGCTATTTTCCACGCTCAAAACGATCGAAGCTTTCGTGGAGAACTATGAAGAGGATCGTGATTTCCCTCAAATTCCTGTGTGGTTGGAGGTACTGGACCAAGCCTTCCATGACTGTGTGAAGGTTCAGTCAGATATCGAGAAGATGGACAATGGAGACGCCCCGTTCGTTAAGCACTTGTAGGAACGCCGGGAATTCTAATCTAGGTATTGTGCAACGAAGGGATGGATCCACCAAAATGCTGTCCAGCAGCAACCGACTAGCGTCCATTTACGGCTACCTAAAATAGATCTGCCGAAGTTTGATGGCGACTATTCACGGTGGCTCGGATTTCGTGACACCTTTAAGTCGATGGTGCACGACGTACAAGAAATTCCACTGGTGGCAAAACTGTAGTTTCTTCTCCAGTCGTTAGAGGGCGAGGCACGTATGCCTTACGAGACGTTGGATATTGTGGCAGCTAATTATGCCACCATCTGATAATAAACGCTTCCTCAAAAAGCAGTTGTATCGTACACTTCATGATCTCGGTCCAATCCGGAAGAAATCTGCACAGGATCTGCATAGTCTTCAGGATGACTTCCAATGCCACGTTAAGGCACTGGCAAAGCTCGGAGAGTTGGCTGAAACGTGGGACATCCCACTGGTCTGCATGCTGTCCTACAAAATGGATTCAACTACTCTGAGTCTGGGAAGAACATGCAGCTAAATCGGAGAACATTGGGTACGAGGCGTGCATCGAGTTCCTCTACCAGCGGGTCCGAATTCTACAAACAGCATCGGGCTCAATCAGCGCCGGTCAAGGTGGCCGGGTCCCATTCCTTTAACAAGAAGCAACCACCTTTGAAACCGGTTGCCAACACCGCTGTTACAAGTCCGCGTTCAAATCCACCAACCTGCATTGCATGCTCTGACAGGCATCTATTGTTCCAATGCCCTACATTCCAAGGGATGACCGTTGGGCAACGACGAGATTTGCCGTCGCACATTGCACGGAACTGTGATTCTAAGTACACCTGCCGTCATTGTCATGAACGGCATCACACGATGCAAGCCACCCACCCACGGTGCAGCAAGCAAGTTCTATCGGATTGAACAATCCGTCTTCCGAGGTGATTTTTCCCGCTCATGGCAGTTCTCCAACAGCTGTCCACATTTGCACTCTGAATCGAAGATCGATTCGGAAATGTACACTCCGCTCGAGCATTGATCGACTCTGGTTTGCAGTCGAACTTTATCTCGAAGAAACTAGCTCGTCGTTTGTGTCTGCAGTCGGAACGAGTAAGCGTTCCCATGACCGGCATCGGGGAAGCAACTGTAACGGTTACGCAATCCGTCGTATCCACCGTCTACTCCAAGGCCAACAAGTTTTCCAGCAAGTTGGAGTTCTTGGTCCTACCAAAGCCAACCGCAGAGCTTCCCACTACGGATGTCAACATTTCTATGTGGAAGATCCCTCCGAACGTCACATTAGCTGATCCCACGTAAAACGTTTCAGGTCCCACTTGACAAGAGTGGCAGAATAATCCTCGGTGAAGGATCGCCAGTACTTTTCGAGACGGTCTTTGGATGGGCTGTCATTGGCCGTTGGTACGGCACATTTCCACCTACATCTCCGGTTTGCCACATTGCCACCACTCGAAATCTAGAATCCATCCTGGAGTGGTTCTGGGAACTAGAATCCATGGAGCCTGGCAGAATCTACTCTGCGAAGGAAGTTGCTTGTGAGGAGCTGTACCAAACTACCACAACTAGAAACGCTGACGGCTTCGGCATGACAGACTATTTTCGGCAACCCAAATTGAAACACTATTTTCACTGGATTTTCTTACGAAAACACTTCGCTGAATGCATGCAAACGATTCTTTATGCTTTCAGCTTCAATTTGACTATATTTTTACCACTTAGAAAAAGCAATCTAGCAAGGTTTTCTTGAAATGCAACACACGCACTACAAATTGTAGCTGATTTCGAGTTGCCGATAATAGAACAGCAGATTTACATGCAGTTCAAATGGAACGGTTGCCGAAGAAAAATTGGTTGCCGACAATACTCGCTCTCACTAGAGAAGATTGGAGCTTTGTAAAAGCGTTTCAAAACAGTTTTTGACAATTCTTTCGACTGAAATTGCTAGATCAGCTGGCAGCAAAAGATTGTAAACAAACCAATACTGCATATGTGTGCGTTCCTTAGAGAAAAAGGCTATAGAAAGAAGGTCGCTGCTTAGGTTGCCGAGAATACGTAAATTCCCCTATGTAGTGTCTCTGCCAAATTCAGAGCATCCCCATATTCAACTTGGTGAGTCCCGAGCCATCGCCGAACGTCATATGCGATGCTTGGAACGCAGACTTGATCGTGATGAAGCAGTTAAGGTAGCCTACCATAAATTCATCGACGACTACTTACGACTTGGCCATATGGACCACTGGACCACTACTACTTGCCACATCACCCTGTGTTCAAGGCCAGCAGCACCACGACAAAGGTACGGGTCGTATTTGATGCCTCCTGCCGTACCTCTTCTAGTAGTTCGTTGAACGATCTTCTACTCGTTGGCCCAGTCGTGCAAGAGGATCTTCTTTCGATTCGGATGCGGAAAAGATGTACCGCCAGATTGGAGTTAGGCGCATCGATCAATCACTCATCCGAATCCTCTTGCGAAACAAGCCGACGGATCGAACCTCCACGTTCGAGCTTCAAACCGTTACATACGGTACATCCTCTGGCCAACGATGAAGGTGAGAATTTTCCGATAACCAAGAAGGCCGTACTTGAAGATTTTTATGTGGACGACCTCATCATGGGTGCAGATACCCCAGAAGAAGCCATTGAACTTCGTCGTCAGCTCACTTCTATGTTGCATTCCGCTGGTTTTCCATTGAGGGAATGGGCATCCAACAGTTCGGCAGTTCTGGCCGAAATCCCTTCAGATGAACTGGCAATCCAGCCTTTCTATGAATTTTCCGATGAGCAGTCGGTGACCACTCTCGGACTGATCTGGGAACCGAAGCCCGATATTCTTCGATTCCGTATCCAGCTACCAGTTCCTGCTACCGTGCTCACGAGAAGAAACGTTCTGTCGTACATCGCGCAGATCTACGACCCACTGGGCATTGACGACCAACGACGGGAAGCCTTACGCGTGGGATGAACCACTTCCAACAAGGCTCCACGACGGTACTGCAATGGCTGAGATCATTACCCACCAGCTGGAAGACGTTTGTAGTCAATCGAGTGTCCAAAATCCAGGAATCGACAGGAGGTCATCTGTGGAATCACGTCCCGGAAAAAGACAACCCAGCCGATGATATTTCCCGTGGTCTTGCGCCATCCGAACTTCTCCACCAAGAGCGATGGTGGACTGGACCTGCATGGCTCAAGCTGACTAAGAACCATTGGCCAAATAAACCCGTCGACTCCGTGTCATCCTCCAAAGCATTCGTCGAAGAACGTAAGGTGTGCCTAGTGTCAGTCCCACCTCCTAGTGATGCGCTATGTGACCGCTTATTCAATCGGTACTTGTCCTATACCAAGCTGCGAAGGACCGTGGCGTACTTTCTCCGGTACATACGTGAGCTGCATGCATCAGCCGTCAAAAATCATCCCGATGGTGCTTGTGCGGCATCATGCGAATCATTCACGTACCTCACTGCCTTTGATCTTCAAGCCGCTGAACTTGTTGTGTGTCGGCTTTCCCAGCGCAAAACATTCCCGGCAGAGCTAAATGCCCTATGCAGCGGCCAACCGGTCGATAAATCATCACCAATGAAATTCGTCAACCCGGAAATCTCAAAGGATGGTCTCATCAGGGTCGGTGGCTGACTCCAATACTCCGGCGATTGGCTCACCTATTGGCCGACCACTATCATCGAACACTGATGCACGCAGGACCGCAGTTAATGATGAGCACCATCAAGCAAAGGTTCTGGCTACTTCGTGGCAGAGATCTACTTCGACAAGTGTATCACCAATGCCATACATGCTTCCGCCGCAAGCCGGTATTGATTCACCAAACAAAAGCAGATTTGCCGAGCTCCAGGGTAACCCCGTCACGGCCGTTTTCAGTCTCAGGGGTAGATTACTGCGGCCCAATTCTCCTGCGCGGTCCACACCGTAGGGCAGGACCCATTAAAGCATATCTACATCGCAGTATTTGTGTGCTTCTCGACACGAGCCGTACACCTGGAGCTCGTTAGCGATCTCTCCACAGCAGCATTCTTGGCTGCTCTAAAGCGGTTCGTTGCGCGGCGTGGCAAGGTCTGCGAACTCCACTCGGATAATGCTACAAACTTCAAAGGCGCCGCAAACGAACTACACCACCTCTACAAGTTGCTGAAGACCGACGACAGCAGCCAAAAACTCATCTTCGACTGGTGTGCAAATGCAGAAATCAACTGGAAATTCATCCCACCACGCGCGCCTAACTTTGGCGGTTTGTGGGAGGCGGCGGTGAAATCAGCAAAGGGCCAGTGTGGAACGCGTTCTGGGCCAAGAGGCCAGTAGTGCCATTAAGAAAGCCTTCGTATCGGCATTCCGGGTTATCGCCCGAGTAATGCTCATGCACTTTCGTTGTCCTGGCGTTTAGATGTTTAACGGAGTGTGACGTCAAAATCCTTCATCCATTTAGACAGCGCGAGAACGAAAGAGACGGAAATTCACATTACCTCACCTGTTTACATCACATTCTTCGACAGTTTAGTTGTCATTCTTCTTCTTCTTCTTCTTCTCCTTCTTCTTCTTCTTCTTGCTCGCATTTCAAGCTTATTGCTTATCGCATATATCAAGAGCCACATGTGAAAAGGGCATACAAGCTTTTTGTAAACAAACCTTTGTAGACCCTCTTCTCGCTAACCGAGGGTCGGCCACGCAAACTAACAACATCATCGGGAAGGGGAAACCTTCCCCTATCCGGCGATGTTGATGGTTTGCGTTGGTGTCATATGGGTGACGAGAAAAAAGCATAAGAATGTTTGTTTACAAAAAGCTTGTATGCCCTTTTCACATGTTGTTCTTGATATTAGTTTATTGGGTGCTCTAATCATAGCATACTAGATGCACTTCCACAGTTATTAATTGACAGCTATACCATTTTTGCCCAGGGAAGTCGAGAAATTTTCGAACCCGAAAAAATCCTAGATCGGACCAGGATTCGAGCTCAGCCTCCTCCAGTATGTCCTTGCTTTGTAGCAGCACCTTTACCGACTGATCTAAGGGAGGCCCCGAGAATAGCAGTGGTCCTGTGTTGTTTGAAAAATATTCCGATTGGTCAGAGCCGATTCTCACAAAGCTCTCGATTGGTAAGATACGATTCAAACCTACGAGTGAGTCCTTGAGAGCTTTCCGAGTTTGGCAATTAGAATGGCATAGTCAACCCGATCGAAAGCAGCCTTGAGATTCGTGTACAACGACGTCCACCCGAACTCCTGAAGGCACAAAGTGATGTAATTCCTCGGTAATTCTCCACTTTTCGCATGTCTCCTTTCTTGAAAATCGGAAACATGAACGAAGCAGTGTCTGTTCTTATCATTTACTAGCCACACGCAAGGAGTTGCGCTTCAACTCAGGTAGTCGAATTGCGTTTTATATGAAAATCTTCGCTGTCATTTACGAACGAAATGAACAAATTATTTCATGATACACCAACGAATACGCATTTGTTGATATTCACCAGTGCTTGATTATCCATCCCAAAATTGTCGAAATCGGAAGCGATCCTCAACAGCAAAATAATCAATTTAATTTTGGGCAAAATGATTGTTTTGAATATCGTTGACCCCAGAGCTCGATACTAAATTAAGCATGAGGCAATAATTTGCCATCGATATGTATGTAAAAACCAAAACGACACGTTCTTCAGCGCTAAATAGGTGTACCATGGAAATAATCATTTTGCGTTTAATCCTCAAAAGCATCCCCATCAAGATGAAGACGAATATTAATTTTGACAACAACAGAGGCGATAATGAACATCCAGCCACGAATGAAGAAAAAATAAATCGACAGTGAGCATTCATAAGGACCAATGCCACATCATGCTCCAACGGAGAAAACCGAGTTTGAAATTTCGATGGGGTTTTTTTTTCAAATATTAATTTGTTGTAGCAATAATTTGTTCCATGATTTATTTTTTAGTTGTTCGATTAGTGTTGATATACACTAAAAAGAGGAGTTGGTTGGAAATGCTAACATTAAGCTTCAGTGTGATAATTTATTAGCTAGAGAATGATCTTTAGAAGAGAGTAGGTGGATAGTTCCGTTAGAGTACGGCAGTATGAAAATTGAATAGAAGTTGAAAATGAGCGAAGGGACATTAATGCGACAGTTTTTAAAGATAGACGCACATCTTTGCCTAACCCGTACGATGTACGCGGAGACTTGAAGTATGTCTTCAAATCTACAGGCAGTAGTTGTTCTAGCTCGCTATTCTAGTATCTATATGCAATCTTCACACTGCCGTACTCTAACGGAACTATCAACTCTATGCTTTCATCTACTCCATCTATCGTATAAAAATTACCACTACAGTCTGTTATTTGAAATTAGCATCTTCAACTATGTAAATCGTTGACTTCACGTAGAAGTAATACTAAAACATATAGTCAAAGTGCCATTAAATCACATTAAAATACGATGATAAGGTGATTGGTAGCCTCACCAAATAGACTACACCCGGATATATTCCGGGTACCCCCAGGCAGTGGCGTAGCGTGGATGACACGGGGGTGGGGGGCTTGGTCACTGATAATGACAATAAAATAAATAAACTTGAATAAGTAAGAAGGGTATGATCACACCATAGGTGGATAAATTCGGGTTTTTTGTGTTAAATCTGGTATTAAATAATTATTTGCATGTAGCCTCTTCTTTGATTTAAATAACGTTTCGATTTGGTTTTGCAACTGAGCTTCGGTGTACCCATCAGTATTGATCGTTGGGAAGCATCCTTCTGTTAGATCCAAAATCTCCCACGACATGTTATTCTTGCTATAGTTTTCTCGTATCGGCTGGAGAATTTCAGCATTTTGTTTGTGTTGTAGCTTGAATGGACTGATATAGTTTTTAATTTGAAAAGTGTGTTCAAAATTATAACTCATTGCATAAAGTTGAAATTAAAATATGTTGACATACCTACACTCAAAATTATTACTATTCAAAGGAAGATTATAATTTAATCTTTTTATGGTTTACCAATGTTTATACATTGGCCAGAATAAAATATGGCTTCATAATTATACTAAGGCCGAATAACGGGGAGGAATTTATTCAATGTATACCAAAGTACGCACGTCATGTCAAACTCGATGGTTTCGTTCTCGCTTCAAACCATTTTTTTTTAATTATTCCGGTAGGTCGTTTGATAATCTAAAGAGCAGAGTAAATTTGCTGAATTATTTAGAAATAATATGAAAAAAACAGGTAAATACTGTGTAACAAACATCATCATAAAAATTAATAAAATTTTAGCCTTTATTTTCAAGATTTTTACAAATTGCTGCCAACGGAGGAGGCGCCATCGGATGAGCCCGAACAAGAAGAACCGGGACGATCTAGACGAACCGGGAGAACTAGCGGTAAATGCATCTATACCGAAGAAAATCACTGTCAGTTGAAACATCGGAACCAGTTGAATCAGAACAGCAGGAAGTGGTTGCCTAGAAGTTGGTACTGATACGGGTATTTTACCAACTGGTTCACTCACGGATCGTGCATTTTAAGTGTCATGTCAATGACATCCAATCGATATCGAGTGAAAGCGGTCGTGCAGGACATTTCAATAATAAGTTCGTTCGAATTAAATTATCCTGTACCTATTGCTGCGTCCCTACCGCTGCCACTGGGTGAACTCACAAGAAGATTGATTAGCACGATTCTGCAGCATGAATCTTGGTGTTCACGAATGTGGAACCGGCACGCATGTTCAGGTAGGGTTGAATAATCATGCATAATCAATGAACTAAATATTTTTCAAATACAGGTGAATATTTTAAACTACATGAAGTGGAAACGAACCTGCGTTCGGCTGAAGGTCTCCATAATAAAGATAACTAACTACATGGAGGAGATGTCCGTGTGAAAAGAACCGAAATCACCAGAACCAGTTGCACTATTATCAGGACCGATGCACATCACTACTTCGAGGATGTTCGTTCG